GGTATTGCAAAGCCATTAAAGATGGATGATGATAATTAATTCTCTCCAACTGAGAACTTTTATACTGGACAATGATGTCTGGCTCAAAAGTATCGTGACCTGTTTTATCCACAATCAATTCAGCAATATCATTCCCTGTTGGTAGGTCATATTCTCTTCCATCTTGGGCACGTTTGGCAAACAGTTTGATCTTTGCCTCCTGAACAGGTTCTTCGTATATTTTTTGCCTAGCCATACGAAATGTTTGAACCAAAACATTACATCCATCAAACATTTCCTGGAGGCCCTGAACAATCGTAGGACGCAATGAATTTGCTGTATCATCAGATGGAAATAGTTGTAGACGATTCTGAAGTTCAGCGGACGAATCATGAATATATAATTGTGCAAACTTTGGTGCTTGTCCTTCTGCCGGAAGTAGGCTGCCTATACTGTGATAAATTTGGCCACCTATAGCATACACATACACACCACCATCATCATTTATTCCCCGATCTACTTTACCACCAAGGGAAATGAAGCAAAAGACAGCATTGTAAATGCGTATGGCTTCACGGAAATGACGACTCAAAGGTGTTGTAGATTCTAATAATTCTTTCAAATATTGTGGTGGATCACGCCTGGAAGGCAATTTCACTTTTCCTCCTTTGCAACACAATGAGAATACAGGATTGGCACGACTTCTGGTGTGTAATGTGCTTTCTTGTTTCCACATTACTTCTGAACAGTACTATCATAGGCTTTCAGGTTGACCCAAGGTGAAAAGTTCCACTGACGGAAATCCTGTAAAGGAAACATGGCCATAAGACAACGCCGTGACTTGAAAGATGCATAAGCATAGCATATGTATTCTAAGAACAAACCATGATGTCGGGAGAACCCCCTAGGAACACCGTTAATCACCCTTCTCCTAGCCAATGTAAGAGAACGGATGGCACGACTCTGTTTTGCACCCAATCGTGCTTGCCGAACAGTAAAACCTGTTGGAAACCAATGGGAGCCTGTCTTGTCAGATTCTAGTCGTAAGGACATATTTCAAGACATGGGTATATATAGTAAATAGAGTTTGTAAGACAACCAATGATAGGCGCAGAAAATGACAGGTGGTATTTTGGGAACAGGACACTCAACCAAAACCCATAACTAAGTGAAAGAATCTAGAAAATGAAAACAAAACAAATAATGAATACCAGGAGCATCTCTTCCTCCTCTTGGCAGATGCCTATTGTGTAGCACATATCTCCGATTTGACCGACACATCTGCGGTACCAATTTATCAATGTTTCGAATTTGAGCTGTCAATGCCTCAATCTCTGCAAGGTATGAACATATAAATCAGATATAGTGAACATTCAGAACGACTGAATTTGATATATTGGTAGAACTAAATTATTAACCCCATCATACTATGATGTAGACGTGTCCGCTCAGCAACTATTTGTTGTTGACTTGGACCTGATGGGGGTGCGAAAACAGCCCTAAGGAACCCTGTGCATTTACCCAACAAACCAAATTACATAAATGCACAACGTCTTCCTCACATAATCGAACAACTATTTTAAAACACAGCCTGCTAATAATGTACATTGTCCCCTGGGCTGCCGAACATGACTCCGAGTGGCTGTTGAGGATGGACCAGCTCGAGTTGGGCGATTACGGACCATTCGAACAAAAAGCTTGTTAGCTGAACCTGACTACGACACTGAAAGGTGTCTGACTTATATAAACCAGCAAACACTGTGAGCTAGATCCCTGGTGGAAGACTATACACCTTGATGAAGAGGTGGGTTACTGCTGCATATGTAACTGAAAAGTTGGGGAAAAATGAACCAGGATCATTGTAATAAACACTTTCATCGGCCACATTAGAGGCATTCACTCTATAGAAAGGTACCTTAGCAGAGCCCATGTCGTTTCTCCTTTAATTGCTTTCTGTACATTCTTTCCTTCTCTCTGAATATCTACGAAAAGTTCAACCCGAATCCCAAAATCAACATCCATCGAAGTCCATAGGGTTAATAAAAGCACAACGATCACCAGCCCAGCAATCCAATCTGAAAATACCTCTGATTTGACGCTCAATGTTACGGCCTTCTTGACGGAGCTTCCGCTGCCAATCCCTCTTGTTTCGTTAGCTGTCGCGGGCGAGCTGAGTTGCAGCAGAGCTAAGCCGGTGTTGAGCATAATCCCCGCCGTTGTTGCGTAATCAGGTGCAATCGGGAATAATCAGTAGTGGTTTTCTGGGGAAGTTGTGAAGTTACAATGATGCCCTTCCGTGAATGAAGGTGGAGCCTGGAAATTCAAAATGGGAGCTTTCTAACCCATGAATCCGTATCTATTATTGTATAGATGTGTAGATTTGCACTTCTAAATTTTGAACTCTACGGAATTGGAATTAGTTATAGCAATTCCGAGGAATTGAGATGGAATTTGCAAATGAATTTCACAAGTATTTACTAATTATAATAGAATGACATAATTATCCTCATTTATTAACAAAATTACTTCTACATATATTATTTGGCGCCACTTGATGCAGTTTGAGAAACGTCACCAAGAATTTGATTGCAACGCTAGTAGCATATGCTAGTTATTTTATTTTTTGCTCCGATTGTATCAGAACTTTGAGAAGACACAACTAGATTGTAAGTTTCATTAACGAAATATTAGAAAAGAACTAATTAATAGAATAGTTCGACTCTATCTAGTTGAACAAAAGTAAAAAAAGGAGAAATATTTATAGAAAATGTAAGTAATTGAGATAGAATGGGTCAAGAATAGGACACAGCGGGGAAGGACGGGTTAGAATTAGATACCCATGCCCCGCCCCACGCTACTGCGGATTGGGTAATACCCACCTCATCACGAGTTAGGTCGGATAATAGTCGCGGGGCGAGTTCAAATTTCCATCACTACCTGAAATCCTCTAAAACCAACTCCAAAATGTCATTAAAAGCATCAAATCAGTACTACATGAGGAGATCAAACACATGAAAAGGGGAAAAAATCAACACCAAAATAACTATTTGAAGTTGTAAAACTAAAAAAATAAAATATGCATCGACTTTTTAGTTGATTGACAATTTGGAGTCTGTAACTGTTTTTTTTTAAGTGTTGTTTTGAGTCGTCTCTATAATTACTATTGTCTCTTCATCAAAATATTGTCAAACTTTAAGTTGGTGAATTGTGGTGCATGCAAGTGAAACAAACAAACAAATTAATTAAAGATGTATTTTTTTAATGGTTATTGAAGATGCATATATTGTACTGAAATATAGTAAATTTGTTGAGTATGGAATATACCATGTCTTGAATTAAGATAAATGAAATTCCTCACAGACAACTGAAGTCACCTATTGAACCTTAATTTGGTTGACCTTTAGTGTTTGGTGTACTAATCAATAATCCCAGATGCAGGTTTGAAAAAACCAACATCCAGCACCTACTATTATGTCGGGTATCAATGGCGCTTAAGTATTGACTTTGTGACAAACACACTTCCCGGCTAAACTTATGAGTTGACCCTAATGTTGTTTCAATTAAGTAATCTTAGGGAGCATATTGCCAGTTGGCTAGCTCAAATCTGATTGCACGAGGCTAATTTTTTTCTTTATGAACAATAATTTTAGGGCTGCGGTTAGATGAACTAGCTGATCCCAAGGTCAACTCAATGTAAATGTTCGTTGACAAATTCATCATGGAATATCTCTTATCTCTAGTTACCTACTGTTTTATTATAAATCATACATGTACATAATTATAAGAAGGTATTCAAATATAGTGTAAATTGGTTACGTAAAATGGTAAGACGCTTACATCTGCTTAAATCGTCCAAATAAACTAATAAATAATAACATATCGGTGATCGGTTCAATTTTTCAGATGATGGTTAGTTTCAAAATTTGAACTTAAAAATGGTAAATATTTTGTCCCCCTCCCCTCAAATGATTTAGAGTGAAAAGAGTTAGAACCAAAATCACTCTCTTTTAGGATTTACCTCAATAATACCAAAAAAAGGTGATGTTATATAAGACATAACATACACTTTACATCAGTGGTGGGTCCTTAAATTTCAACAAAGAGGCTAAAATTTTTACACTTATGGATTTGAACCATAGTTATTGAAGAGACCGATATAGAGTTTTACCAACTAGTTTATTTTTTAATTTTGTTAAAAAATTTACATGTACATACTGTTTGGTATAAATGAATTCCATAAATTTTTAGAAATTCATTTTGAAATGAAATCTTTCTGCGTTTGGTATTTAAAAAAATTCATTTTCAATTCTAAATTTTGAATTCTACGGAATTGGAACTAGTTATAGCAATTCCGAGGAATTGAGATGGAATTTTCAAATGAATTCCACAAGTATTTACCAATTATGATAAAAGGACATAATTATTCTCATTTATTAACAAAATTATTATTTGGCGCCAATTCATGCAGTATGAGGAACGTCGACAATAATTTGATTGTAACGCTAATAGCATATACCAAACGGTCTGGTAAATTTTCCTAGATTAAAAAATTGAGAGAGCTATATATACAACGTGACTCCGGCTCTGGTTACATGTCACTTTATAAACTCCCGTTAAATTAATACCTGGAGAAACAGCCTTTGCCAAATTGCTGCTGGAATTGTTCAATCTGATCCTCCCACTAGTATCACACCGCCTTAATACTGACAATTACTAGCCCATGACTCATTAGGTCTCCTTCTTGACAACGGTAATCCGTTCTATTTAGTTAAAATAATTAAAAGATTAGTTAACCTGTCCCAATTTTCCCACCTGCAACCCAGAAGTCTTCTCCAGAATATGAATTAATTATTACACAAAACAACAACAATGTGGATGACGACCACCACGATCATGGCAAGGATGTAATATATCTGTCTATGAATTTGTATTTATAGCACCCTATAAATAAACCAGTATCGTGACAATCAATCATCAGTTCTCACACATCAATCAACACATTCAACCCTCTGATCAATCCAATGGCTCCAACACTATCAGCTGCGCAAGCACTGGTGCTCTACTCCGTCGCAGCAGCGGCGGCGCTACTTCTTTCCCCGCCGGCGGTGGTTGCACAGCTCACCCCGAACTTCTACGAAAAAATCTGCCCGCTGGCCTTGCCCACCATCAGAAGGGTTGTGAGCCAGGCAGTCAACGCCGAGCCGCGCATGGGCGCGTCACTTCTTCGCTTGCACTTTCACGACTGCTTCGTCAATGTACGTTCTCTAGTACTTTATTTCGCTATATATCGATCTCCTTTTTCCTTGTCGCTAAATGTTATCATAATCGTGAGATTATGTAGGGTTGCGACGGGTCAGTTCTTCTGGACGACACGACGAAGTTCACCGGGGAGAAAACGGCGGTTCCCAACTTGAACTCGTTGAGAGGGTTTGACGTTGTCGATAAGATCAAGTCGGAAGTTGATAGAGTGTGTAAGAGGAGCGTGGTCTCCTGCGCTGACGTCTTGGCTGTTGCTGCTCGTGATTCCGTCTCCATTGTAAGCATCCTGTTAATAATTATTGCTCTTGCTCTAATAAAAACTAGAGTTATGTATATATATTATGCTTTTCTAGTACTATGCGATTTTAAAAAAAAATTATATAATATATTTGTACTTTAGAAAAATTACCAAATATGTTCGTATGTTCAAATTTTCATTCAAAACTCGTCTATCATGATCGAACCGTGATTCAGACGATCTAACATCGATAAAATGAAACGGAAAATATTAGTTTTCTCCTTCATTTATTTCTCTCTTAGTCTCTTTAAAATGAAATTGCTTTAACTATTAGTTGACATGGCTATCTTTGATATCTCGAGTAAAGAAACGGACTTGGTGGGGAAATAGAATATATTTCGTAGGACGATGTGCGGGTCAATCCAGTTCTTTTCGAACGGTGAAGAAGGAAGATAATGCGGGCGTCACATGAGAGAATTTCTTTTGTGACATCTACTCCAAACAGCGGAGACACCCCTATTCATCCTTTCCTTTTTAGGAAGGGGTCCGAAACATTGATCCTTCTGACAGCAAAAAAATATTTTAGATATTTGTGTGTCACCAAATCATAATTTAATTATGATTCACGATTTTTGGATGAAATTTTTAACAACGTTCCGCAGCAGTCATTTTCTGTACAACCATGCTAATAATATTCCACGTGTGCATGTTAATAAGCTGGGAGGTTCGACATTCACGTACCAAGTCCCCGTGGGCAGAAGAGACTCCCGAACCGCCAGCAAGAACGCCGCGACCAACGGCCTCCCGCCGCCGTTCTTCAGCTTCAACCAGCTCCTCGCCAACTTCCGCTCCCACGGCCTCGGCCTCACCGACCTCGTGGCGCTCTCCGGGGCCCACACCATCGGCCTCGCACGCTGCACCACCTTCCGCAGCCGCATCTACAACGACACCAACATCCAGACCGACCTCGCCTCCTCGTTACGGCGCAATTGCCCGCAGAGCGGCGGCGACAACAACCTGCAGCCGTTGGACGGAACTCCGGCGGGATTCGACACGCAGTACTTTGGGTCGCTGGTGAGGAACAAGGGGCTGCTGCACTCCGATCAGGAGCTGTTTGGTAGAGGTAATAGTGCGAGTGACGGGCTTGTGAGGTTGTATAGCGGGAATCCGGCGAAGTTCGCGGCGGATTTCGCGGCGTCGATGGTGAGGATGGGGAATATGAGGCCGCTTACGGGGAGTAATGGCGAGATCAGAACCAACTGCCGCAAGATTAATTAACTAATCAAATTGAGTTACGTTCGGCTTAATTCATGTATGTTGTTTTGAATTAATTTACATCCGTGTTGTGGATTTTGGGTTTAAATATATAAGTGAATAAATTGGGTTGTTGAGATAAGTGGGCTTTGCATAAATTGGCTGACGAGCTTAAATACATTTGGACCATTTAACTTACTCAAGCGCATTCATTGTCCATGACTCGACGGGCTCATCATAGGCCGAACCAAAACCCGAAAGAAGTATTTTGTCATTGCCACGTGGAATTTAGGAGTCGTTGAACGATAGAATTAAGTTATGTCATGGTGCTTAGATTCCAAGCAACAAAGTAAATTTTTTTTTGGGTGATATAAGTTTTTGCTGTTTATTATTAAGTACTAAGCTCTTTAGATTTTAAATTAGTGGTATTACTACTAGATTAAGTCATTGTTCGTCCTGCCAACAAAATAATTTAGTAGAAGTAAGTGATGGGATCATACATTTGTATCCTCTCGATTTTACTTTGTATTCGTTTTACCATTTTGCTGTGTGGGAATAATCAATTAAAGGGCTTAGTACTAGTACATGTAATCCTTATAAATATGACATTGCTCACTGCTATGCAATTTTCATTCAATGCTCACTTTTGACTCTTTGTTTATTCATTTAATATCTAGTTTTGTTAGCAAATATAAATTTTGAATTATGAAAATAACATAGAGTAATTAGCAAATTCATAGTAAATTTTTAAATCTGTTTTGTGAAAAATTTACCTTTATCCATAGCTTTAACTCATCTACACAATACTATAAGCGAATGTCAGAATGTAGAATTTGCCACCTCAGCACCTCGGCGCTATACCGCACAGTATGGAAGGATAGAGAGGTATTTTCATAGGGGATATTTTGCTGCATGATCGAGAGGAGGAAATCCGGCAACTGGACCACATGACAACTCCTTATTGGTTTGCTCTTTAAGCTTTAATTTTCCTTTTAAGGTAATTAATTTGGAGGGTAAAGAGTAAATAAGCATAGTGGTTAGCGGAGTTCCACTTACTCACAACCTCATCTATCACTCAAATGAATAATGACAAGTTGTCAAACCGTGTGTTGACCCGTCGGTTGGTCCGCTTTCATTATATTTTGGATTTCAGTACAACACGTTATTTTGGTGTAATGTTATATGTTATTATTTATATGGTACATGAGATTTTATATAATTTATAAATGTATAAACAATATAATGATTTTTACCATATATTTACGCTAAACCAAGCTAAAGAAGTCGGCTCATTAACCCTAATTCCACTTGCTCGGACGGGCCAACGGGATAAACTAGGTTGACAACCTTGAAAATGATTAAACTATACCCGTATACAGGTGATTAGAATTTAGAAGGATAAGGTAATTTTCGGATGGGCCTTTAACTTTCAGTCTACTTGGAGGGAATTGAAAATTTTTGTTCCAAAACTAACACAAAAAATAAGAAAAATTTTGCAGATGCACATAAAAAAAGTTGGAAAATTATACACTAAACGACCATGTTAAGAAGAGAACCCTTGATAGTGCGTGAATAGTTTTTTTGGTTTGAGATTCTAAGCCAACCTATAGACAACAACCATTGACTGAGGGTTTATCCAAACTTCAAGAATTAGCAATTCATACATATTAAGTAAATAAAATTAATAGCTAAATCTTTCAAAGAATTTAAATTATTATCCAAACCATTAAAAATACAAAAGATTATCCAAATATTTTGTATCACATCAAAATATTAACCATTTGTCTGATATCATTAATAATTTTGTAACTCTTTTTATAATAAAAATACTAAATTGAAATATATATAGACCATCACGTGTCTCTTCCAAATCATAATCATGTTGTTAAGTGAACATTACTAACAAAAATGCTAACCGGGAGTTAATGTTTGGCTAATACTTTGCATTTTGAAAAGTTTGGTTGATAATTTGAAAAGTTTGAAAGATTTGGCAAATAAAATGTATTTACTCTATTATATAAGATACTAAATTTGAGTCTCTTGACAGACAAATTTTAACATAAGATCGTTAGCCGAGACTTCATGATCATTCACATGAAAATGAGGCAAGGTTAGAGAATTTGATCATCGTTAGGGGTACGGTGTGTGTCAAATTTCACTTGAAATAAACATAATTTATTCACAGTTGGTCTTGATGATATTTAACTGTAGAATAAGCTTTCTTCAAAATGAAACAGGTCTAATAATTAGGAATTATAATGATGTTCCTTTCATATTGGACCTAGAGTCCTAGACTGTTTGATTCTTGATTATATTAGTCCTAATGATGTAGTCAATTAAGTTGAATTGCCATTAAAACCGGTCCTAGCATAATGCAAGCATGTATTTATTAGAGTCTGCTGATTTTTTTTTATGGGATGCCTACTTTTTTTTTATTTCTTCCTTCCGGCTTTTGTCTGTCATATAAGCATTGCATTGTATGGAAACCTCTATGTATGCTGTTTTAATTGTCGAGGTCCCAGCTATTGAGAATCCAAAAATATCCATTGCGCAGCTCAATGAATTAAAAAAAAAGGGAAGACCACAACATAAGGGTTTCCAATACAAATGACAACCTATCAGGATCCCTCTAATTTATCTAACGATAAGTTATCTTTTGAGTGAACTTCAGGAAAAGGTGTTAAGGCCACAATGAGAAGTTGCTGCTTAATATTCTGTTTTCATCTATGTGATATTTAGTATTCTATTTCTAATTTTCAGTCAGATTGATATTGGAACTCTGTTAAGATTTTCCACTTATGGATTGTCTTTTGTTCAGTTTCAACTATAGATTTTCTCATCTAAGAGATAGTTTTTCCCTTATGGATGTCTTCTATTGTTCCTGTTTGAACCTAACTGAGTGTAGGAGTGAGGTTCGAGTGAGTTTGGGTCAAGAAGAAACGCGAGCGTCGGGTTTGATCGGAGGGATAAGAATTAGAGGGTGGAGCGAGAGTGAGAATCAGAACTTTAGAAAGAGAAGTAGTTGCAATAGAGTGAGAATGGCGAAAAATGCGATCCCCTCACCCACCGTAGTAAATGTCATATTTATAGGCTTCATGGTGGTTGGTGAGTGGTTGACTCAAGAGGGGATACAATGATGTGACTACTGGGATACACTGATGTGACTTCTGGCATACTAAGGATTTTAGGCCATCCCTCTACCCAGGACATGTCAGAGACCTGTCCATGGCCATGATGTGACTACCTGCTGGGGGGGAAAGCTGCGCTTCTCTCATCCTCTGACTTGGCCTACGCTTGTCCTCTCTTAGCGCATGTAATTCATTCCGCGCTTAAGCTCTTTGCGCCAAGACGTGGTTAGCTATGATGAGGCGGCGCGCTCGGGGTCCTCGTCGGGGTTTATTTAGTTCCGCCCGGTCCCTTGGCGTGGTTAGGCCCGAGTCCCATGCCCAACAATTGCCCCCCATCAGGGGGTGTTTTGTGAACGCCCCCTGTTTGGACTTCTTCTTGACAGACTCGGGCCGGTGTGATCTTCGTGGGGCGGGTCTTTTGGGCCTATTCCGCTTGTAGCAATTGGTTGGCGCCTACGTGCGCGATACTATGGACCGGTGTCACCTTGCACTGATGGCATGCGCTGTAGCGCTCGTTGTTGGGCTTCGTTCGCTGCGCGCGATATTCGGTGCGCGCATCCTCCAGCGTTTGAGGATGAGCCATGATGCGCGTACGGGGTCGTTTTCTTCGCGCGCGTTACACTGACGGCATGCGCTTGCGCGCTCGTTGTTGGGCTTTGTTCGCTGTGCGTGATTCTAGCGCGCGATGCTCGGCGATGCGCGCATGGGGTTGTTTTCTTTACGTGGCGCGATGCGTGTTTTTCTTTTCCTCGCGGGTATGTCATGCCCCCCAGGCGGTGCGCGGCACTTGTGGCGTCGCCGACTAATGCCTATGATCGTAGGTATCCACGTGTCCTTGTGTGGTTAGGCTACTTGGGCGGGGATTTTTTGAATTTCGAAAAGATTTGGTGGGATCTGACGGTTACGGATCCCTATGTGGCTTTAACCTTTCGCCTTCCGCTGGCCGATTTTGGCTCTTCGCTTTCCCCCTGCTCAACTATAAATGTAAGATTGTTTCGGAGAGGAGGGCTCACTTGTTTCCTCCGATTATAGCCTCACTTTCCTTTCCCTAAGATTTCCCTCTTCCTTCACTTTCCTTTCCTGAGATTCCTCTCCTCCTTCTGCAACCTCAATCCTCTTCTGCTGTTGTTCAATTTCAAGTCAATATCATGTCAAGCATCAACAACCAGGAGGCCGAGGTCGTACAAGGTGAAGAAGGTAATTTCTCCCCTCTCTCGCACACTTCTTCTGACCATTCCGGTGATGGGAATGGTGGTTCTGGGGATTGGAATGGCGGATCTGACGGCGGAGACGGCAGCGGTGACGGTGGAATTCCGGCGACGCCGACGTTCGACGCTAGGTCGGGCGATGGGGCCGGGAGTTCTTCTGATGTGGGTATATTCGCTTCCGGGAGTGGGGAGGCGATACGGCCAGACTTGGTTCGGGCAATTTTTCTACGTTAAGCCCACTCCCGGGGAATGGGCGAGCGGGTCAATGGAGGAGCCCACCTCCTGGAAGAAGGGCAGTATATCCGGGTTCGAGTCGGACGTCGGCCACTACGACGGGCTCAACGATGAGTATGAGGCTTGCATGCCTCATCGCATGAATTTATACAAGCGGGGTGTCCGCGAAGCCTGCTTGGAAGAGCTATTTGGGGATGGTTAGTTATATTTCCTTTCCTTTGTATTCTCTCTTATTAATCGCTCTCTTACGATTTATTGGCGTAGGTGTTGACTTCTCCACCCTTGTGAGTATGATGTCGGTGGACGATGTCGCGCCGCGTGCCGACAAGAGGAAGAAGAAGGTTGGCGCGGCGCCAAAGGCTTCAAAGCGGAAGGAGATCGAACAGCCGCAACCGCAAGCTGTCGAGAAGCCCCGCAAGACCATTCGTATAGCGGAGCCAACTGCTGAGGTAAC